GAATAATAAGAGAACCCATACAAGTAATGCTGACACATAATCCCACTCGTACACTAAGTAGAAGAATAGAAGCATAACCACCTGACCTCACTCCACTCATCATCCCCTCTCTTTCCCCCCTTTCCCCCCAACCTAATATTATATATAATGCTAATGTCCAACAACAAATGAAACTATATTGTAGAAATCACAATTTGAAAAAAGAGACAACACATGTGTTTTTGTTCAATAAGAAATCTCATATATCTATATATATATATATATGATGACTATGGACCTCCAGGCTTCTCTGTCCAGCCCTCAGAGCTCTCCCCAGGCCACGCCCCTCTCTGGACTTGTTTCATAATCTCGAGTGTTTTTGCCTGCTTGGAATGTGTCTTTGAACGCTGGTAATGCCTCTTGCTCGACTGCGCGGATGTCAGAGCGGGATCTGTGAGTGTTCATAGAAACCAGCCTATTGTACAATGTACACCCACTTTTGGGTCTGATGCCACCCATCACTAGCACATCGGCCCTGGAAAGTGGCCCACAAGGAAATGTGTCCTTCGGGCTGAAAAGTGTCCCACTTGTTCCCACTTGTTCATCTGGTCTCAGGGCCGGCCCTACCATTAGGTAACTGTCTTGGGCAGAGGATGCTGGAGGTCGGGGAGTCATGGTCAAGTGATGGAAGACAACCTGCTCTGCACCGCTTAAGCTATTCAGGTTCCCTCTGCACTATGATTTCATCCTCGAACCCTACCCACCCCACCTGCAAAATGAAGATTACACGTAGTACTGGTCTACTGTACAGGACTGGGCACTAGGGATGTGCTATGTAATTCCTTTGTGTGTGTTTTTGCTGTGAGTTGCCCAGGATGTGATGGGTTAATATGTGGCCCCTTTCCCAGCTTCTTCCCTCCATGCCGCTGCTGCCGCCACCACCACCATCACTGTCTCACCTCCTCCTTCCTCTGTATGCAGCAGGCAAGCCTTCAGCCTGGGTCCCTGCCCTGAGCTGTGTTGCTAGGGAGCCGCCAGCCTAGGCTGAGCTATGCAAGGGAACAGCCTGGCCTGTCAAAGTGTCTGAGATAAACCATAGGCCAGACTCTCTACAGCTGGGCTCAGGCATGCCTCAGCTCTTGTCTGGGGCCTGGGAATGGCCTGGGTCTGTGAGGTTCAAGGGCAAACTTGCTATTCATTAGTTGGGGGTCCTTGACATTCCCACTCTGTCTCTCTCTCTCTCTGTCTCCTCTTTCTCTTATTGCAGTGTTTGTGTGTTTTCTCTTCCCTCCCCTCCCCAACTCCTACCCTCCTTTTGATGCATTCCTGGGTGCCACTGCTGAAGCTACTCCCCCCTTCTCTGTACCCCCCCCAATCCTCTCCCATGCATAGCCCTCCCCAGGAGACAAGGGAGGGATGGAGAACAATGGTCCAAGTGAGCCTATTCAGAGGAGGAGGCCCAGACGGACTTGGCTGTCTACCTCCTTTGCCTGCCTGTGTCCCTTGAAGTTCGCTCTCCGCGCCCCATATTTGTGGCTTCTCATCTGAACCCCCTTCCTGTTTTTGCGAGTGCATCTGCAGGGGAGAGATTAGGGGGCTCAATTGACTTTGGATTTCAGATCATTGATGTCCTTATTATCTTGATATTTGCAGGAAATTGTAATTTGAGATAAGGAAATGTCAGCTGCGTGTTCTCTCCCCCCCCTCCACCCGTTTCCTCTGTCTGCAAAGAACCCCCCACCCCACAAAGCACAGGCAAAGTTCTTGCTTAAAGAAAAATGTAAATGATTGCCTTAAGAGGAGCTTCAACTCAGCGCAAGTGAAAGAGCTGGCAAAAATCTTGTGTGTGTGTACACACACACACACACACACACACACACACAGCTCCAGTAACCACGGGAAAAACATGCTGCGTAGGCAGAACTCTGAAGCTCCCCTACTTTCCCTCTCTGAATGGAATATTTCTTACCTTTTTAGCATCTGAGTCTCCCTGTAATTATCCAAGACAAACAGCATGTGCAATTGGTTTAAAATGATATTTTCCCCCACCCCAGGCCCCTGGAGCAGAATGGAGGTGTAATTGTGCTAAGGAGTTAGCAGGGGGAGAATATGGCTTTTTTTTTTTTGGTCACGTTTTGAGTTGGAGGTCTTCAGCCAGGAAAAGGGTATGAAAAGCCTTGATTTGCATAAATAGCATGTGTCTCTACAAAAGAGAGAGAGGGGTGGGAGCAAGAAGAGAAGAAAGAAAGATATCAGGGGCTTGCAAAATTCAATTGAGACTGGAGAGGGAGGGGGGGCAGAAAGGAGGGTGGAAAAAATTGACAGTGAAAGGGGTTTTGCTAAGTAATACCCTGGCGAGATTAAATTGTCCAGAAAGTTTCTCCCCGTGTGCTGATGAAATGGTTGATGGGGTGAGGCGAAGGAGGAGGGACGGAATCCCTCCTTTCCAAAGGGCATGAATAGAAAATTTGGCAAAGGGAAGGAATCCGATTAAGCAGAAAAATCCCTGACATTTTATTTATGATGAATGTGTGTGTGTGCATGTGTGCATGCACCTTTTGGTCAAAACCTCACACTTCCAGTTTGGTGTGGTGTTAGTCTCCAAGTCCCAACAGAACCACCAGCTTTCTCAGTGGCTGTGTAACAATAACAGCCATCTGATGAGCAGGAACAGAATTTGTTCAGGGCCTCGGAACAGAGGCAATGGGTGAGTTATTGCAGTGATTTACTCCAAAGCAAAAGACAGGTTTATCTGAACACACCCATCCCATCTCAGAGAGATTATCCTTGGGCAAAGGTGGAGATTGCACCTGTGTTTTGACACTGTTGCAGGGTGATCACACAACAACGGGCTTTCGGTTGGATAATTGTGGTTTCGGCATCTCCCCAGCCCTAGTCAACCATCAAGAAAACATGGAATAAAACACACACCCAGCATTCTTATTTTTTGCAAGGGACCTTGGGCTGCCTTTGCAAAAGCAGAAATTAAAAGAGAGCAGGGTCTCTCTATTGAGTCGCTAGTCTCGCCTTTATTTATCCGAGGCGCAAATGTGCAAACTTTGGGATAGCAGATGGCAGAGCCTCTTCTCCCACGGACGGGGTTGGTGCCTGGGTGCCTGTGTGTCTCCTGCCAATTAGTGGCTCCCTCTCTTTGATTTACACAGTAGAGGAACCCCCCACACTCCTTGCTCGCGAGGCAGAGAAGGAGCAGGTGCTCCTCTCATCAATTTGGCATTGGTTCACTCTGCCGACATCGCTTGAACCCAGGGATGGGAACTCCAGAGCAGCTGCTCCTCTGGCTGCAGAATCAGCTTTACCTGGTTATCGCATCCTGTGCTAAGAGCTGGTGTGCCAGTTTTATCATAGAGGCTGCTTCATTGGGGCAAGTGGGGTGCTGCCCTGTCAACCTCACTCTGCCTTCAGCCAACCCCTCACCTTGGCTGCCTTCTTACTTCCACGTAGTCCAGGGGGTGGCACTGCCTGTCAGCTTCCTCCACCTTAGTCTCAGTTGTAGAACTCAGCAGGAAAGAGGATGGGGGCAAGACTAGAATGCCCGTCATTGGCTCTCTGGCGCCACCTACTGTTAGCCTCCCTGCCTTCTGCCCTACCATTCACAACCAGCACTAGCCACCACTGGATTTATGGCTTCTCTCAAGGAATCCTTGGGATTGTAGTAGTGAGCATGCTTGGGAATTCTCCCTTGGTTATCTCTAGCCACCCGCTTTTGTTGTTGTTTAGTCGTTTAGTCGTGCCCGACTCTTCATGACCCCATGGACCAGAGCACACCAGACACTCCTGTCTTCCACTGCCTCCCCCAGTTTGGTCAAACCCATGCTGGTAGCTTCGAGAACACTATCCAACCATCTCCTCCTCTGTCATCCCCTTCTCCTTGTGCCCTCCATCTTTCCCAACATCAGGGTCTTTTCTAGGGAGTCTTCTCTTCTCATGAGGCGGCCAAAGTATTGGAGTCGCAGCTTCAGGATCTGTCCTTCCAGTGAGCACTCAGGGCTGATTTCCTTAATAATGGATAGGTTTGATCTTCTTGTAGTCCATGGGACTCTCAAGAGTGTCCTCCAGCACCATATTTCAAAAGCATCAATTCTTCGGTGATGAGCCTTCTTTATGGTCCAGCTCTCACTTCCATACATCACTACTGGGAAAACCATAGCTTTAACTATAAACCACAGTTCCTGGAGGCAGGGCGTCTTAAACCAGTTTGTGTCTGTAGTATGTATAAATCTGCCCTTGCAGTGATTTGAGCTCCAAGGCAAAACCAGCACAATTCCCCGCCCCCCCCAACAATAGACCAATATGAGTAGCTTATTTTCAAGGACAAAATACTCAGAGCTCACTCAGCGATCCCGTGGCAGCATATGAGGCTTACTTTATCAAAGTACTGGACTGATCTTCTTCACCTTTAAAGCTTTATTGTGAAAAAATGTATACAAAAGGCCAAAAGGGAATCTACAGCTGTCATCTGTATGCTATTATCCATATTCTAACAATTTTAGGAATTGGGAGATCAACTGATGACTTAGGGGATATTGTTGTAAACTCATGTTTATATATACATGTTTATTTCACATGCAGTTTTGGTTGTCTGCTCATAAATCATTTTTATACAATTTTCATTGGATCTGATTTCCTTTTACATTGTCTGTCTTCTTTTGCATAATTGGAGACCCTCTCATTTGTTTTGGTTGGATAGGAATCAAACATTCCTTTTTAATCGGGTCTTTGGCTTTTAACTACGGTTTTTTTGCGTGGGTGGGGTGTTTTAATGTTGGGGTTTTTTAAATCTATGTATGTGGTTGCTTTTTGCTTAAAATATTGTAAGTTGCTTTGAGGTGCCATAGCTAAAACAACAACTAATAAAGATAACAATAACAATAATAGCAATAATCTACATTGAAAAATTTGCCATGGCCTAGAGTGATCTGGGCAATTTATTGTGTTGATTTGTGGTTTGAGAAGAGGCTATTTGAACCAAATGAACAACTATTATTTTCTTGTTTTTGTAGATTATTATGATGGGGAATTTCAGGAACTTGGAAAACGTTGATTTTTTGGTCACGTTTACTACAGATGAAGGCATGCCTGCTTTTCCTGTTTCACACGGACCTGATTTTCAAGCCATCTTTCTTCAGGATACCCTACACAGCAAGAACTTTCTTGGGACTCTAGGCTTTGAATTTTTGGATTGTCTAATGAGACAGGGGAACTGGGCCAGAAAAGCCCGTCTCTGGACATGGAAATTGGACAGTGTTGGGTCTCCATCTTTCTAGGGTCTGCCATGCTTTGCTGATTTGGATCACACATGGAAACCAAGAGCAGCTCTGTATAGCTAAGATACTGAAGGAGGAGGAGGAAAACAACCATGGCAAAGAAGCAAATGTCTGAACTGTGAACTTTCTTATCTGTAGTCATTGATGTCATTAAGAGGGATGTGATATCATTGATATGGCTTGTGACTCAATGGAGATAGACAGCTGGGGGACCTGAGCTGATTGTTGGGGGCTGATTTCACCTAGGATCACTTAACCTTTTTGGCACAGGCATCAGAAAATGACCAGGCCAGTAGCTTTTCAAAATTATACCTATTAGAGACATGTATTTTCTACTTTGACTTGTCTACACCATATTGAGTAAGTTCTTGGGTGAAAACTCAGGTGACACATGACACTATTCACACCTGTTAAACATCAGTGTAGCTTCTGAAGTGCGTTCTTTCACCAAGGAGTTCCCCCATGGCTCCAGATTTCAAGGGAAGATCATTGATTGGGGAAGCTTGCCTGCTGTTCCTGATCTTAACTCAGAAACCTAGGATTCCCTAGGACCTGGGACTGGGTCTCACACCTGCCTGCAAGAGTACTGCAGTACTCAGCATGAATTGCAGCTTCTAGGTCAAGCAGAAGGGAAGCCCCACGTAGAGAGCATTGCATCCAGTTTTGATGTTTTGGTTGGGCTCCACAACATGACAACACATGGCAGCAACATTGCAGGTCTGCTCTGAAGTAGAGTCTGGATCTGGTCTGTGCCTAAATGGGTGACTTCCTGGGAACAATATAGATTCTGTGATGGAAGAAAAGCAGGCTATAAATGTAAGAAATCTAATAGAATTTTATCACAAATTATGCGTGTACAAATTCATTTTGTCTCACATGTGTACATTTCTAATCCTATTTTAGCCTAAAATATCTGTTTCTAATGCATGGTTGAGGGGGAAGCAAGCCAAGAACAGTCTCTCAGAATTTGGAGAATCCAAAATTTGAAAGATAATTATATTTAAGTTCCAATTCTCCACATTAAGTCTGGGAAGCGCAGATCAGTTCTTTTAGCTTCAGAACTGCCAAAACAAATTCCTCAGGCATCTCTAGTGCAGAACAGTAGGTCACTGCAGTTTAATTTTAATACAAAGGACAATGACAGTGTGGTGTAGCTGTTGGAGTGTTGGATTAGGAATGGGAAGACCAGGGTTCAAGTCACTGTGTGATTTTGGGCCTTTTCATCTGAACCTACCTCACAGGGTTGTTGTGAGGACAATAGGAGGGGAAGTATGTATACCATTCAGTGGGTCTTGATTTTTAGTAGATGGTATAGGGTTGTGTGATAAATCCCACATCATTTAATGCCACTTTCTCTGTGTGCTCCATTTGACATCTGCTGGCTAGGATTGCAGTGGTTTGCTTTGAAAATAACACGTTCCCCCGTATTATATATTGCATTTTATCAATGTTAACTGCCACATGCGTAACTGATTAGCTGGGTGGTCATGTGAAAAAGAGAGTGGTGCTCCTGTACCTTTATTAGTTGATTCCAGTAGGTGTTGGTTCTTGTCATGCTCCTATTAAAGGTGCAAGAGTCCATTCCTCCCGCACTGCTCTTGGCTGCCCTAGGTATAAACACACTGATCTTGTATGGCATCGCAGGTAACAACACAATTTTCTTTTTTAAATGGGGCTTACTTCCAGGTAGGTGGGTACAGGATGCACTGGAAACAATGGGAGTGTGCTTCTGAGTACACCTGTGTAGGATTGCATTGTGAACTATGAACCAGAAGGGTCCCCAAGCTTCTGCTATGAACCTTACAGAAGTCACTCAGTCTCACCCTCTGATCCCTTTTGCAATGTGGGGATAGCATAAGACTTACCTTAGGGCATCCATTTCCAACCTTGTGCCCTCCCAGCTGTGTAGGACTACAACTCCCATTGGCCCCAACCAGGGCAGCTGTTGTCTGGTTGGGAGTGATGAGAGTTGCAGACCAAAACAGCTGGTTGAAGAAGTCTCACATACAGGATGGTTGTAAAGATTATAGCAGGCATCCCCAAACTTGGCCCTCCAGCTGTTTTTGGACTACAATTCCCATCATCCCTGACCACTGGTCCTGTTAGCTAGGGATGATGGAAGTTGTAGTCCCAAAACAACTGGAGGGCCGAGTTTGGGGATGCCTGGATTATAGCAGATGTGAAGCATTTCCAACACTCTATAAATGCTGAAGTATAAAATGCTAGAGTTGCAATCCTGTATCCACTTAGCTGGAGGCAATGTGAGTAGATGTGTATAGGACTGTGTCATCATTGGCCAGATCTGTGCTGGGTTGATTTCAAATCTTGTCATTTGGATATGTTTCTCTTTTCCAACATGCGTTTGATGTTTCTGCCATTTAGAGTCTAATTTTGACTTGGTTCCCTATTGGCTATCAGTTCTGTGGTTTATTGCTGCTTTGCCCCTTGTTGCAATGTGTTTTTATATTTCATTGTTGGGGGGTTGTTGTTGTTGCTTTTTACATTGTTTATCACTGCCATTAGCACAAAAACAAAACCCAATACCTGTCTCTAATCCAATTCCTTATTATTATTATTATTGTTTATTAAAGTTCAATCATTGTGACAATAAATCATTTTGATGGTTTCACAAACAATCTCTCTGCGTGTTTTTGCTGTGGCTGAACAACAGGGCAGCTGGAATGCAGATGTTCACATTTTTTGATGCCCTTGGTAGCCAGCCATTATATTTGGTTGCCACCCAGTTAGGATGGTATTTTAGAGAGGAGTCCACTTCCCCTTCAGAATAACCAGGCCTCCTGTCCCCCAACAACAAGGCTGGCAAATGCAGTTCTTTGTAAGCATGCATGTAGGATCAAAATAACAATGATCTTAATTTTCACATATATGTTTATGCACGGGCATAGCCAGGGAGGGGTGGCAGCTGCCCCCTATATCAAATAAATGCATAAAGACACTTAACTGAAAGTAAAAATTGCAGAAATATTTTGACAGATTTTTCTTGGGGGTCAAAAGAAAGAAATTTAAAACAGTTATTGTTGAGACATTTCATTCGGAATCTGCTAGACAGAGCCAGACAGAGAATGAGGACAGGTGGGCGTCCTCTTTCCCCACCATAAATCCTGGCTATGCCCGTGATCTGAAGAGTCCCCTGTAAAATCACTAAGTTCACTGCCTGGAACATAAGAGGAGTCTGCTGGGCCAGGCCAATGGCCCATCTAGTCCAGCATTCTGTTCTCACAGTGGCCAACCAGATGCCTGTGGGAAACCCACAAATAGGATTCAAGCACAAGAACTATTTCCCATCCTGTGGCTTCAGCAACTGGCATTCAGAAGCCTTGTCATCTCCCAATGGTGGAAGCAGAGCATAACCATCACGGCCAGCAGCATGATCTGAAATTAAGGTAAAGGTAAAAGGACCCCTGACCATTAGGTCCAGTCGTGGCCGACTCTGGGGTTGCGGCGCTCATCTCGCTTTATTGGCTGAGGGAGCCAGCATACAGCTTCCGGGTCATGTGGCCAGCATGACTAAGCCGCTTCTGGCGAACCAGAGCAGCTCACGGAAATGCCATTTACCTTCCCGCTGGAGTGGTATCTATTTATCTACTTGCACTTTGACGTGCTTTCGAACTGTTGGTAGGAGCAGGGACCGAGCAATGGGAACTCACTCCGTCATGGGGATTCGAACCGCCGACTTTCTGATCGGCAAGTCCTAGGTTCTGTGGTTTAACCCACAGTGCCACCAGCGTCCCTTGATCTGAAATTACCTGCCAGCAAACCTGCCTCTCATCTGAGTCTTTGGGCAGCAGCAGAAGAAGACTCTAGAAAGGGGAGAGGCAGTTTCTCAGTCGTGCTAAGCTTTGGTGTACAGTGGTACCTCGGGTTACATACGCTTCAGATTACAGACTCCGCTAACCCAGAAATAGTACCTTGGGTTAGGAACTTTGCTTCAGGATGAGAACAGAAATCGTGCTCCGACGGCGCAGCGGCAGTGGGAGGCCCCATTAGCTAAAGTGGTGCTTCAGGTTAAGAACAGTTTCAGGTTAAGCACAGACCTCCAGAACGTATTAAGTTCTTAACCCAAGGTACCACTGTATTCAGAATTGGGGTGAGAGATTCTTGGTGTTCCAAGATGACTCGAAAGCCCAGTGCAACATGACACTACTCCCTCCTACTGACTTCTGCACTTGTGCCAAGGAACTTGGCAGCAAAATAAAAAAACCTTGCCACTCTAGGATGGTCACCCGGGCCTGGCAAGCAGGCAGTTGACTGAGAAGAGATTTATGCTCACTGCTGACAGCCTGGCAACTGCATTTGTGGACCCCTGATGTCTGTGTTGTCTCTCTGCGTGTCTGTCTGCATTTTATATGTCAGGGTTAATGTGAGTTGAATGGCGAATGTGCATAAATACTGGCCATTGTCCACGTTCACCACAAGGGATGGAGAATCTGCACATATTAACAGCCTGAATAGGGAGCTGGGTATACACTGTCTGGCCGATATGCAAGTGAGGTTGAGGGATGTGGGGGTCTTAGACCTTGCCTGGGAAAGCTGAATCATGCCCAAGAGGACAATATCGACCATGACCATGTAATCTAGGAAATAACCAGCTCACACTCTCAAGGTGGGCTTAATCCACAGCATCATTTGGGGTATCTGCACCCCAGCCATCCAATAGGGGAAATATCTGGCTTTTTCTGTCCCCTTGTGCACATTTTTCCATGATAGAATAGAGTGGGAATAGAGCCAGAATTTATGTGTGTTCTCCGATTAACTGCAACTCTGTAGGTTTATGTCGTTCAATGGAAAGCTAGAAGCTTTCGCCATACAAAACCCACAAAGGCAAGGAAAAATCACACACAGGCAACCAAGGAATGGCTGCTTGATCGTGACCTGGGTTTAGCGCCACGGAAATTCATGCGATGAATGTATAATCTGATGGTGATCCGGACACCTATGGAACTCAGAACGCTCATCCTCTGGGGTTCTTCTCTTCCTAATCCATCACAAAACCAGGATGGTGCTGGTGATTCTTTCCCACCCAGAACTCCCCAAATGAACAAAGGAGGTGGAATAAAGAATGACCATATTGTTCTCTGGGAAGCACATGCAGGCAGATCCCCTGCAAGGCCAAGTTCAAGGCTAGTATTGAGAGGGTGGAGTGTGTGTGCAAGAGAGAGAGAGAGAGAGAGAAGGTGGGAATGGCATGCTAATTTCCACTGCAAAGATGCAAGGCTAGGAAATCTGCATGAGGTGATTATTCACTGCTGCCACCAGGCCCTCCTACAGGCTGGTATGGTTCCCCTCCCCCCAAATAGCACATTAAAGAGAAACAATGGGGGCTGATTGCCTTCTGCTTAAAGGGGGATGGGTGGAAAGAGGGGAAGGTTCTCCCTCTGCACACCTCAGAGAGAGAGAGAGAGAGGGAGAGAGAAATGACAGCTCAGATGGATGGATTGATAGATAAGACAGATGTATTATTATATAGCAGATCTCTATCAGACAGCATCAAAGAGTGTTGATGGTATATCATATCAGTCTAATATCGGTCATTGTTGCTGTCAGTTACACAGTACTTGTCAGATCTCCAGAATCCCATCACTGGATCTCTAATCTCTCTTTAATTATTATTATTATTTCATAACTCTACGGCATTTTTTGAAGTGCACTTTGCAATTTGTCTCAAACAGTCGCACTTGCAAGATAAGTTTGGCCCGACTGGCAAGTAAGTTGAGTCCTGTTTGGGGAACGTCATAAAAGCCAGTTGTGGTTTGATCCTAGAGTGGTCATTTCTCCCCCCCCCCTGTTTATGAAATTTCATTGTTGCTATCCCTTAGGAATTGGGCATAGAGTGATCTTTTCACAAAACAGATCACGGCCCTGTGTGAATCTTATGAACAGTGCTATCATAAAAGAACATTTAAGCCCGCTGAAATAAATTGGTTCTTAGGCCCGATCTGCACTACACCTTTAAGGCAATATCATACCACTTTGAAAAGTCATGTGTTACCCCAAAGAATTCTGGGAAACTTTCTACTCTCGCCATGCATAAATTTGTACACCTTAATCACTTGTTTGCCCTTTATCTAAAAAGCCCCAAATCTTGTAACTTTTCCTCATAGGGAAGTTGTAACAAACCCTTGATCTATTCTTCTTTCACACTGTAGTCTCATCCGACCTATCATTCACAGGAATTGCAGTCTCTTGGTTGTTTTTTAAAAAAATATTTATTTATTGCATTTATTGCATCTCCAAGGAGCTCAAGGTGGCATACACTGTCCCCTTCCTTTAATCCCTGCAGTAATTCTCTGAGGTAGGTAAGGCTAAGAGACAATGACTGGTCCAAGGTCACCCAGTGAGCTTCATGGCTGGGTGGACATTTGAACCCTGGTCTCCTAGGACCTAGTCTGCCACTGTAACCACTACACAACACTGCCCCCCACACTCCTTGTTCACTTATATGTTATTTAGTAAGGCGGCATTTTGTGGATATTTAATGAATCCGCTAGCTTCACAGGACTCAATGCAGCGTCTGTCAAATGAAGTCTGAAGGCAGGTGTGCAGTTAATTAATTTATTTAAAATTTTCGTTTCACATTCAAAAAAGAAATAGAATGATGCAAAACAATGAAACAAGGTTTGAAAAGCATATATGCTTTTGCCCGCATTTATATAACTAAATACCAAATAATACACTCAGGCTGCAATCGTAGATGCACTTACCTTGGTAGTACGTCTCATAGAGCTCAGTTGGACTTACTTCTGAGTAGGCATGCATAGGATGGCACTGTAATATGAATATGTAACATCCATAGAGGTATGTACCTTGTTTTGCCAAAAGCTCAATAAAAGGTTTTCATTCCGACAACAACAATGACAAAACTGTCATTTTGTATGAGTTCCTTTTCTTGTTCTGATATAATTACTTACCTTAAACATAACTGTGTAATTATACCTTTTATTTCTCCATTCCTCAAAAGTAGGAATTGATGTTGTTTTCCATTTAATAGCAGAGTAAATTCTTGGTGTTGCTAACGTATACATAATCATTTCATGATATGTATATTCTTTTAATAACAATGCAAATCATAAGAGATCCTTCTTAAGTTTTACATGTGTTATCAGGGCTATCCTCTTTCTTTCTTTCTTTCTTTCTTTCTTTTCTTTTTTTGAAAAATATGCCCTTACTTGTTCACTATCCCACCACACAGACAAGCATTTATTTACATATTATTTCAGAGATTTCGGGAGAGGTAGAAATCTGTCACAGAAAAACAGCAACATAGAGTCTTGTGGCATCTTAACAACTAACTGATTTATCATGGCATAAGCTTTTGGATTCTAGACCACAAAGGCTTATGGCGCGATTAATTTGTTAGTGTTTAAAACGCCACAAGGGTATCACAATTAGAGAGAGAGAGCATGCAATGCTTTCAGCACTTGAGTGGAGGACAGCTCCATTGAAAACAGAAACTTTAAACCTGATATTAAGCCAAGGTTAATTAGCAGTGATAAATAGGCTCGCACTTGCAGCTCTAGTCTCTGTTTTACAGAATTTTATTTATTTAAGGGATTTGCTTATCCCACTCTTCAGTCAAAAAAGGCTCCCAGAG